ACAGCATCTAGCACTTTGTGGGCATTACTGTAATACAATTAATAATCATTTGGATGACAGACTTCTAAATGAAATAAGTTTAGCACATCTCCTCCTGACTTGGCTAGAGGGAGACATGTTGGCATATCTTCTCAGGGCTAGTTTTAGGGACAGGGGATAGGCAGTCACTTTGGGCACCGCATTAAAGGTGGCACAGGACAGAAGCAAAGAGGAAAGGACTAGCATAGTAAGCTGTTATCTTCGCAGATCCCTTTGTAAATAGCTTGCAGAGGGTAGTTGCAGAGCCGGCTCTAACTTTTTTGTCGCCCCAGGCAAAAAAAGAGAGCGCCCTCCCCCCCCCAGTGCCACGCCGCCAACCCTCCCCCCCAACGCCGCGCTGGGCCGCCTAACCCCCCCGCCCTGAGCACCGGGTCGCCCAAAACCGAATCGGCCCGGGCGCCACGCCAGGCCGCCCAAACCCCCACCCCCACCAGAGCGCCGCGCCGGGCCGCCCAAACCCCCGGAACGCCGCACCGCGCCACCCAAACCGCCGTGCCGTGCCAGCCAAAACCCCCGCCCTCCCCCAGCACTGCACCACCGAAGCCCCCGCCCCCCCAGTGCCGCACCACCGAAACAAAAAAAAAACCTCGAGCGCCGCCCCGCGAACAAAAACAAAAACACCGCAAGCGCCCCCCGCCACCCCAACATTGGCCACCCCTTATAAGGTGCCGCCCCAAGCTCGTGCTTGGTCGGCTGGTGCCTGGAGCTGGCCCTGGGTACTTGATTAGGATTAGTCTGTTTCCCTGCAGATCAAACACTTTACAAGATGAGGGGGCTGCAAAGTGCTCTTCAATCCTAATACATTTCATGTCTATGGCTTGACTGTAGAGAGACAGAGAATGACATGACAAAAGACAGGGAAAGCAGCAAACAGACAGAACAAAGGAACAAAAGGGAGAGAGAGAGAAGAATTAAGAGCTGTCCAAACACAGAAACAAAGCTAGGGACTGGGGACGACACAGAAAAAGATGCACCCAAGAATATCTAGAGGCAGCTATCCCAACACCTCCTATGAGGCACCATTACAGCTAGTGCAAAGGATTCATTGGCATATTTGGGAGCAACTGAGATGAGAAATACCAAATCCCAACTAGACCTATAGTGCCAGTTCATCCTGCTCCTGAGACTGTGGCAGATCTATTCATAATTTAAGGCTACTATTGATCATCTTGTTAGATTTCCTGCATAACACAGGAGGCCATACAGTTTATGCAGTAATTCCTCCTGGAAGAGCCAGAGCATATCTTTTAGAAAGCCATCCAATCTTGATTTAAAGATGGCAAGCAACAGAGAATCCACCTCCTCCCTCTGGGAGTTCTTCCACTGGTTAGTTAGCGGCTTGGTTTAAATCTTGCTTTCAGTAACTACGTGCACATAGCAGCTTGGATTCTCAACTGCACCCCCCGTGTGCTGTAGTTTAGGAGCAGCAGCCTGGGCAGTGTGAGGAGTAAAGCCACCTTTGTGCTCTTCATATTTTGAGCCTGGATGGGGACATGCCCAGCCCCCAGCATAAATTAGAGATGCCTTGGAGGGTGTGGGGGTGGATGTAGGGTTGCCTATTCCCTCTGAAGCTCAAGTGAAGATCTCTGTACAAAAATTTGCTCAGGTTCCAGCCCTTAATGCCACCAGAGCAGCATAAAGGGGCCGGAATGTAGCCATGATTCAGGGCTAGAAAATCTAATCACCGGATGGGGGATTTGACTAATTGATTCTATTATGTACCAGTGTCTCACTAATAGCTGAGAGGCACAAGAAACACTACTCTGAGATTGTCATTTGATAGAAATTAGCTGGACTAATAGAACTGCTGACACTGTGTTTTGAGGGGGGGAAAACAATGTGTTCATCCATAATGTGAATGTTCCTCTTCCTTTTACATCCCACTGGGTTCATCATTCCGGAGAAAGGATCTGCAAAATTTCTGTTTCTAAAATAAAAAGCTCTTTTTTGGGTAGGTTGGCCAAACCCAGCAAAAGCTATTTGGTTGATTAATATTTATATGTAAAATAAACAAAAAAAGGAAAAACCAAATTAAGACACACCCCAGCCCTGTGTAAAAACCCCAAAACAATAATCTCTACTGACAACTTTAACCCTCTGAAGCACAGCATATAATGGAAATAGCTACTTAACTTGGACTTAAGAGGTGTGAGGTTCTGCCATAATACACTGCTAGCTCAAGTAGGCATAGCCAATGATTTAGTGCAAATGTGTTTTCAGAACTGCTAGCAAAACAAAAGCAGAGCGAACATGTCCATACAACAGATTTATAGAGATGGACAAACCAATAAAGAGTCTAGACAGCACTGAACTGTGCGTTTGGCTCTTCTGCCCTCTGTCTGTGAATGATGTTGAGCGAAGGAAGTGGATTAAACCCTGGCAATCAATCAGTGACATGCATTATTTACATATTTTCTTTCTTATTATCTAATAATCTGCTCCAATTGTTTATATATAGCTAAGCCAGATCCTGTAACTTGGCTCTTCCTTCCAACTTTCTGACCACACCAGAACTTTTTTGTTTGCATTAATGGAGGGTGGGGGGAATGTCAGTGGTATTGTTAGTTTTTAAAACTATCCCTTTCATTATTTGTCAAAATATTCTGCTGTTTGGCCTGTCCTTGTTCCTGACTGAACAGAATGATGGATATGTCAAATGAAAAAAAAATCCTACTATTCTTTTCACAAAGATTCTTAAACTTTGTTACAACTTTTGACATCTTTAAATGTCTCCCAGTTTATGAAAGCAATTGGTTTCCTTTAAACCCTAACAAGATAAACTGAAATTCTGTTCAAGTCATTTTTATGCCTTTCCTCCCTGACAGAAGAAACTAGCATTTTTCCTTCCAGTTGACTGCAAGATTATATTTAGTGTTTTTACTCTGTTTTGTACAAATAGAAGTGGTGACGTGTTGTGACAAGAAGACAGACCTCATATTACCATATATTTATAATCGGCAGAAGAAAGGGTAGTATGTGAATAGGTTTATTAAAGCAGGCTATTAATGCATATGAAAGGAAAAGGCATCAACTAGTTCTACAATTATCTACTCACTACCCATTTGCTTACTCCACTGAACGGGTAGAGAACTAATCAATCAGAGATGGGAGCTCAGGGGGAAAGGGAGAGTTTAGAATAGCAGCAGACTGTAAAATCATCCATTGGAGGACTAAAAGATTTATACAAGCTGGAAGAGCTATAAGAGCTCTGAAGTGACCGAGTCATTTCCATATGGATTAATTGTTGAACTCGGGTCTCTTTATAAGGTTTTGTTAAATCGTTGATTGAGAATCATCTTAGCAACTAGAAAAAGAGTTCTGCTAATACCACCGGCACAGAACCAGACTGATGGTCAGTCAAGCAGAACTGCACTAATACTAAGGACTGGAATTATATTTTTGGTGTGTTTTTTGCGCACGCGCACACACCCACACAGACACACACACACACACCCTAATCATGCTAATATCTCAGGCAAATTAATAGACAAAGTTCTAACTCAAACTTAGACAAATCCTTCTCCATTCCCTAATTAGAAAGTCAGCAATCTTGGTCTCTTCCAGGACTAGAATCAAATGGTAGCCCATTGCATTGCCCTGCAGTGTTGAGACAGATCATAAACCTGTCACTTGTCCAGGACTGAGTATTACCCATCTTGGACCGCAGACCATTGTACTTTTTGTATGGAGGTAGATCCCCATTTTGGGGGAAAAGGAAACATTTTTGTTGCAAGCTAAGGTTTTTGTTTTGTTTTGGGCTATTTGATTATAGCTGTTTGCAGATTCACAGAGGTTTGAAATAGAATAAATCTCAAGGGAGACATTAGTGGGCAGAGTAAAGATGAGGTAATCAAAGCTACATGCTAAGCACAGTTTATCACAGCTAAATTACAGATATCATACCTATCTCATAGAACTGGAAGGGACCCTGAAGGGTCATCGAGTCCAGCCCCCTGCCTTCACTAGCAGGACCAAGTACTGATTTTTGCCCCAGATCCCTAAGTGGCCCCCAAGGATTGAACTCACAACTCTGGGTTTAGCAGGCCAATGCTCAAAAGCATGTGATGTATGTGTATTCATAGATATATACATATACCTAGATCTGTATATTATATATTTGATATTATATCACAATATGAGTGTTGTGTTTAAATATGATATGATGTAATGGTGTAAAAATAGGAGTCTAAATCCTGTTGCAGTTACATTTTCATAAAAGCCAACCTATAATCCCCAAACAACAATACCCCTGGTAACCGATGGCCTGTTTCCAAAAAGTTAACCCAGTAATATGGTCCTATCCTAAAGAAAAAAAACTGGAAAACTTACACCCTGAAGATTGGTTTTATAAATGAAACAGATTTTATAAATGAAACAGGTAAGATTCTGAGAAGTCATTTCTCACCACAGCAAGAGGGTAAGATCTTTGTGGTATTTCCACATGTAAATTTTGAGTCTTAGCCTCACTGGGAGAGATAAATGTGGTATCAGACTCTAAAGCATTACATATTCTCTCTGTCTCTGTCCCTTTCTCTCTGTATATATTAATTTTATAGATCTTTTTATTGTCTGAACTCTACTGGTTGCGTGAGAAGCAGAACAATAGGCCAAGTGCTTCCATTTCACACATGCCACTTCTATAATTCAACAAAGAATAGTAAAAAAGATCTATAAACTTGTTATAAATCAGTGCCCTAAACTAAATTAACCATTGAAATAGATTATCATAAAAATAATGTCATAAAAATATTCTTCACCTCTGTGGCTCAGGTTTGGGTGTGCACACGTGTGCCAGCTCCAATGGCAATGCTAATGATGTGGAATGCTGGGCTTGTGCGTCTACTGCTGTGGGGGAGAGAGGGAGGCAGGCAGGGCGGTGGGAAGGAGCTTTAATATCTCTACATCTGGGAGAGTAACTCATAAACAGATCCACTAAAATATAATTACTCTACATAACTCACCTTTAGTAGCAATGAGTCATCTTCTCTTTCTTATTAGCAGTCAAGCACTAGTCTTTTGGGCTGTATCTCTGTGCCACTTGAAGAAATTAACGATTAAGCAGATTGGGCTGCTCTAATGGACGCTATGGTTTAAGCAATACACAGCTTGTGCAAGGTGTCTGGGTTCTACCCTGCATTGCTTATCCACTGAAGAGAAAGCTCCTTGTTTGCACATTTTAAAATAAGTTGCTAGAAATAAGCAAATATAAATATTATAAGATATATAGAAAATGTATCATACAGAACAATCCTGGATTGGGGGGGGGGTGTGGGCTAAAGGCCTAATAGACCCTTTCCATCTAATATCTTCCATTATTTCTAGAGGAGCAGGGAAGCAGCGGGACACTTAAAATACAGGGCAGCTTCAGGGCTGCTCTAATTTACATTCTGACTGCAATGGCCCCCTAGTGGCTGTCTACCAGCCAAGAATAGCTGAACTACCACATCCTCAGGCCACTCCCTCTCCTCTCTCCAGCATGCCCTCTACACATCAAGCCAGTACTATTAGAATCTAAACTTCATTTTAAGGCACGTATTTTGACAAGGAAATTCATTCAGCATAGGCGAGCTGTGAAATCTTCCAGAAACGAAACTCAGCTGCTGAACTGTCAGGCCTGGGTGTCAGCCATATGGCAAGAATAGAACCTTCTAATCGCTTTTTGCCTTTGGTAAAAAATGGAGATATAGAGAACTACCATGCATTGGCAGCCTGATTTGCATAAGATGGACTAAAAAAACTTAACAATGATGTGGAATGCTGGCTTATGCTGTTGCTGGTGGAGTGGAGGGAGCAATGTGAAAAACAGCCACCTCCGTAGGAATGAAAAAAGAAATCCAGGAGGGAAACCACACATAAGGAGCTAGCTGGAAGGGAGGTGGCTGTCAGCTGTAACAATCAGAGACAAAAATAGCCATTTGAGGCCACAGCTGGTTGTGTTTCCCAGATTTAAAGGGCTAGTTTTGGAGGGTATTCTAGGAGAAAAACACTCAGGGTAAATCAAACTAAGGAGTTTAGTGCTGGCTAGGAAGTCAGAAAGTAAGGAGCATGCAGGGATAGGGGTCTGAATTCCTTACTTATAGGAGGTGAGGACTCTGCGTGCATTACAACCTCACATTTCCAGAATTGGAGCCTGGAATACTATGTCTTTCTTTTGTTTTCATTTAGAACATTGTGATGCTATAAGAAATATACAAATCCCTGTTGAATAAAGAGTCCTTTGTTTGTGGTTAACCACATCTTCACAAAATAGTGGGCATAACTCATTGTTAATGGGGCTGGGGATGTATTAAACTGGGGTGGCGGGAAGCTATAGCAGTTCTACAGAGGTTGTAACATGCCTGGTGATACTATCAATAATAGAATTAATCAGGCAGTTTAAACTATACAGCAGTAATCTTTTGCATATATTGAAGAGCATTAAGACTCCAAGCATCCTCACTACAGAGAAGGGGGACTGTATATTTTGTTTTTAAGTGTCTCAATCCAGTATATAAGATAAACTCACCTTTCAGGATAGATTAGTTGTTATGCCATTTCAAATAAGCATTGTTAACAGATACACTGACTTGTTAAGCTAGGTAATAATGACACCACATTTTATTTATATGGCTTCCATCTGCTGAAGCCTTCGAGGCAGCTCACAAAGGGCTTGATTTTCAGCCAGGCCTTAACATAGCTGCTTTTTATGCCAATGCAAATAACAGTCGTTGGAGGCTGTGAGCACAGGTCTAAATGCTAATCCCTGCACTCACAATGCATTATTTTATTTGTTTCTGCAACAAAGGCTCTCTCAAAAAGTCAGGCTCACAAAATACATAAGGGATGAAACAGTGAAGACTCTCCATTACGGTCGTTTAACATTATCAAATGACATTATACCCTTCCCCGAAGCTTGCCATGCAGGGGGAGGAATGGTCATCTTCAACTCCTCCATCTCAATCTCATACCCCTGTCTCACTGTTTTTTTCTCCACAACATACTGAAAATTCAACCCATCTTCTCTGTCCCAATAGCTGTCACTGTGCCCTCATCCTCTCCCATCTTGATTACTACAACCAGCTTCCCCATCAATCTATTTAGCTTAACAAAGAGAAGGTTAAGGGGTAACCTGACTTCAGTCCATAAGTACCTACATGGGGAACACATATTTGATAATGGGCTCTTTAATCTATCAGAAAAAAGAGCTAACACAATCCAATGGCTGGAAGTTGAAGCTAGACAAATTCAGACTAGATAGAAGGCATCAATTTTTAACAGAGGGTAATTAACCATTGCAACAAATTACCAAGGGTCATAGTGGATTCATCATCACTGGGAATTTTTAAATCCAGACTGGGTGTTTTTCTATAAGATATGTTTTAGTTCAAGCAGGAATTATTTTGGGAATGTTCTATGGCCTCTGTTATGCAGGAAGTTAGACTATTTGATCACAGTGGCCCTTCTGGCCTTAGAATTTATGTGTCACGCAGCTATGGAACACTCAGCTCTAGTCCATCCTAAATGCAGCTCCCAAACTTACCTTCTTTGCCTGGTGCTCCAGCTAGGACAACTCCCCCTACTTGCATCATTCTATTCACTCCTCTTCCAGTTCTATTTCAGATGTAAGGCTATGGCTATACTACAAGGCTTTTAGCGACATGGCTGTGCCGCTACAGCCATGCTGCTAAAAGGTGCGCAGTGTAGCTGCTGTTTGTCGGCAGGAGAGAGCTCTTCTGCTGACAAAAAACTTCCACCCCCCACAAGCGGCAGCGGCTTTGTCAGCAGGAGAGCATGCCTGCCGACAAAGCGCTGTTCACACCCGCCCTTTTTGTCAGTAAAACTTTTATCGTTTGGGGGGGGGGGTGTTTAACACTCCTGAATGACAAAAGTTTTGCCGACAAAATGCCAGTGTAGACAATGCCTAAATATCTTGCTCTCACTTACAAGCTTCTACACAACTCTGCTCCACCGTTGCTGGCAATTCCTCTCTACACCTCCTCCCACAGCCCCAGGCGTCATTTGTATCCTTTTCCTATTCCCATCTTCATGCCTTCATCTCTCCTGCCTCCCGCTCATGCACGCTCATTAACCAATCTACATGAAGCCCCATGCCTGCTCACCACCTCCCTACCTTCTACAAGTCTCACTTCTATTTCATTGCCCACAAGCAGTAAGTTATTAGCTTAATCCAATTCCGTCCTCCACACACATCTTGACGGCACACACACAGAAATTAGATAAAAATGTAAATACTCTTGCTTGAATGTGGCAACATAACACTGCTTCATTTCTTAGAATTCAGAATAATCACACACAAGAACCCTAAAACAGAAAGAGACACGAAGCAGGTTGCTTCCTAAAACAGAGAGGACCAACTCATCCCACCTCCCATCCTATATCTGGTTTGCAGGGCTGAACCTTTATATAATGTTTATATTTATAGTCTATGCATTGATTATTTATATTCTGTGCATTGATTATACACTGATAGGTTCCATGCTAGTAAACAACCACTCTCAATGAAACAATGCTAAACTAGGATCATTGTGGTCTTTAAAAGGTTTCTTTGTACTTTTATGCAGATTGTTTTTTTGCTGGCTGAAGCACAGCCAGAATAAAGAGTCTGCAAATCCTTAGAAGAAATTTTTTGTGGCTCTTCAGAATTTTCAATATCTCGCTGAGAATTAGAGCAGGAGGCTAGATGACTAAGCTGGGGGAGAGGGAGACTCTGCACCAATGAGTTGGGACATACAGTCCAACAGCCCTGGCAGAAACCTACTGCTGAGCTCCCTGGCTTTCTCAAAAAGGCAGCGGGAGCAGGCAGAGGAGCCTGGCACTGCCCTCCAGCTGCTGAGAGCCCTGAAGTGCTATTCTGTACTTACAGGAATTTTAATTCACTCTGATCATACAAAGCCTCTGGCTGTTTTCCTAAATCCTATGAGAGCTGTTTTCCAAAGAGCCTTACTTCGGTGGCTCAAATTTGGGGACAACAGTTTTTGTCTCTACTTCTGAAACCATAAGGCTCAATCCCACATGGGGGAGTAAAGGAGCTTAATGGGTCCCTTTACTCCTCTGGATGGGCCATCTGAGTCCAAAATCCCACACATTGTGACCTGGCGAGCAACTGCTGCCAGACCACTACCCTCCCTCCCTCACAGGTGGGGAATAGACGGACTCATGATTACGCCCCTCCTGCCTTTGCAGCACACTGGCCTGGACAGCTGAGCCCGTTTGGAAGTAAGCTGCACTAAGAAATGGGCTAACATGGCTTACTTCCCCGACGGAGCAAGGGAGAAGCAGGATTGAACTGTGACTCCTAGTCACAATTGGGGTCCCTACTTTTCCTGCTGGGGCAGTGCAACCAGGTGCTGGCCCTTACTCGGGGTGGATTGCAAGATGCCACCCTCGCCCTTAGTGATATCTCTGGTTTTATGAAGATTCTTTTTAGGTTAATAGAGGAATGGGTGGGAGTGAGAATGATCTGTCATTTCATAAATGGGGCAGCTATCTTGTGTGCCATTTCTTGTTCACTTGGGGCCGGATCCTACCCCCCGATGATAAAGCAGGCTCTTGCCATTCTGTGGGCCCCACACTCACAGATTTAACAGGGTTTGCTGTAGAGACAGGACAAAATGGAAAATCTGAGATCCAGATAATCACCCTGCAGTTTTGGGTGTTTGGATTCAGTCTTTTCATCGTTATAAACCCTATATCTGGATTTGCATTTCTTACCCTCCTCCCATCTCAAAACTAAGAGTATTCAACTCAATTTCTATTGGTCTTTTAAGAGCTAAAGCCTATGTAATCTATCAGTCTCAGGTTGGTTATATCCAGCTTCACCACATTCATTTGAACATCAGTGATCTAACTCAACAGTACAAAACGCAACAATCTTAATTTAGATTTTTGTTTCTTTATTTTCACATCTGCTTTCCAAAATAAACCAGTCAGTTTTTTACTGGTCGGTACATGAACTAAAATATATCTTGCTTGAGTACGGAAGTGGCTTAGATTAATGAGTTACATTTATTTAGGTTCTTCATTTTTACTGTAGTGTAAAAATAGATTTTTATGTTTCTAAACTACTAGTTATTACTGGCCTGATTTTTAGACTGCTGAGCAGTTGTAGCTCCAAGTTAACTCAGTGGATACTCAAAACTCTAAAAATCAGGCCATGAGAGACTTACTCATTGAAATGTATAAA